TTTTTTTTTTTTTTTTAGTAAGGGCTCTGTGTATCAGTTTGAAAATGACTTTTCGTAAAGATTCTTCAAAACATTTTTGTGGTCCACAACAACAATAATATAGGTTCAGAACATCATGAGAATGAGCAAATAATGGTTGCATAATGACAGAATTGTCATTTTTAGGTGAACTGCTCCTCTAAGATTAAGAAATGTGAACTGGGATAAACCTGTAAGACTTATTAAAAACCTGTAAGACATACTTTCTTCTGTGGAACACGAAGAGGAATGTTGAAGAATGTTGGTAACCAAAGAGTTTCGGTTCCCTTTAACTTCCACTGTATTTTTGTCCTTACAATGGAAGCCAGTGTGAAATTAAACGGTTTGGTTACCAACACTCTTCAAATGATCTTCTTTAATGCTCAACAGAATCGTCATGCATATTTGGAACAAAATGAGGGTGAGTAAGTGATGACAGAATTTTCATTTTTCAGCGGACTATCCTGTAAAAGCATCATTACAGTATCTACAAAGATGCATGATTTAAATGATTAACATTCTTAAATGACGGAACATTGGAAAAACAAATGATCACCACTTGTTTTACTAGAACTCCCTGATGCACATTTAGAAAGCAAAATATTTTGCATCTCAAACTTGGCAGTGATGAATTTGGTGCTAGAGCCAATGAGCTGCAGGGACTTCCTCATAACAACAGTTACAGACAGTTAATGATCTGTGATACTCACTGAAAGCCATGTAAATCATGGATTAGCTCAACATTTTCCCTCACACAGAGGGGGTGCAATTACACACTGTTTCAAACTGTAGTAAGCAGGTTATGTAAGAAGGTATTTTAAGGCATCATAGGGTTCACACAAAGAATGAAGGCTGTTCTGAAAGTAATTAAATAATCATGCTTCCTTCTTTTGGCCAAATTGTAAGGCAGCATCCTTCAACGTGCTATACCCGTTTCCTTCAAATCTCAAGAATGTAGTTCACTTCAGTGCCATCGCAGCTTCCCTCACTAGGTACGTTTACATGCATTATTTT